ATGTCTGTTTAATAATCCAGAGAGGAAGTATCAAAGTATTGTATTATTTTTATCACATACACTTATCTCCACGAAAATGTCAAATGACCTATCATATTGACATTTTAGTTATAATATTGTACCATTCTTACTATTAGTTTGTGACCATTACCATACATCCTAGTTTGATTTGTATTTTGTTCACAAAACTTCTCACAATATGATGATCCAGAGAGTAGTATGTGCCTTAATGATGATACATCCAACTGGTAAGACATGCAGGAAGTCGATGTTCGTGACATTCCCTGGGGAAGTTTTGTGTTCAGCGGTGGACTTGTAAAGGACTGTTCATTTACATTTACATTTCATTGTACATTTAAATGATGATGATGAAACATTTATTTTCATTAACATTTAATTAAAACTGGTTTCTAGGACCCCATACCACGGTTTCTCGTAGATAAAGTTCTATAAAATAGTAAATTCCTTACTCCAATCCATCACTGTAGGAAGATATTTTAATTATTATATTATATATTTTTTAGATTATTTTATAAGAAAAATAAGGTTTAAAAGTTCACGAGCCAAATGAATAACGACGGTGTAAACACCGATACGAATACACACGAACATTCCTTTTACTCATGCGGTCGTGCCAAAAAACAGACGTTGAGTGGAGAACAGGCTGCCCTATATATATACTTGGTCCATGGAACGGGCAGGCTTAGCGGAGCGCTTTCCTCATATAAAACCGGGGACGCTGATGCTCTCCCCTTTGTCTCCATCCCCATCCTCGGCCTGCGTCGATCCTGAGATAGAATGTGAAGCGAGTCCAGCTACCTTTGGTGCACAGCCGGGAACTGGATAGCGTCAAAGCAGACTGACCGCGCCAGGAATGCTGCGCCAGGGATACCACGCGCAACGGGGTCAAGTCCCCCAAACCCCTTCCTCTGGGACTTCCTCCCGCACCCCTTCTAGGGCTTCGACCGTAGGTGGAAATTCCGGGATATTCGATTCGGCGTTGTCCTCGCCAGAGGACACCGAGGTTGAAAGACGCTCCGTAGACGCTTCATCGTCCGGTGATGAGGGCTTCACCCTAGTTGTAGGAAGGAAGACGCGCAAGAGCTCTAAAAAGAAGAGGTCGGCCAAAAAGGTGGCCATTTCCCCTTCCTCCTTCGTCGATGCTCCGCCTCAGGGTGGACAGTCCCCCTTTAAATAGGGGGAAGTAGAAAAAATCAGTTCGGGACAGAAAGGTTCCAAAAATCTTCTCCCTGTCATAATACAGGATGAGGCCATCTAGGACGGCACCTCCCAGATTATGGCCAACAAAAAGATTGGATTCTCCAAAGTAAAGCTCACAGTACATTGCATTGTAGTCTTGCCCAACACGGTGAATGACTACAGGGCATTGACCAAAATTCTTCGGGGTAAAGATATACCCTTTCACACCTACTCCCTTGAGGAGGAGAAGCGTCTCCACGTGGTGACACGTGGAATCCCCAAGAAGTTTGAGATCTCCTTTGTGAAGGAGGATCTCATCCGACAGGGACTACCGGTGCGTGAGGTACTCCGTATGGTCAAAAATATCAGAAACACCCTCTACAACCTGGTCCTGGTCATCCTCGATCTGTCCGAAGCAGGAATGAAAATTTTCGACATCCGTACGGTATGTCACCTTTCTGGGGTCACCATAGAACCCCCTCACAAGAAAAAAGTTCCCGGGAAATGTCAAAGATGCCAACTCTTTCGTAATAGTGCCCGAAACTGCTTAACCTGCCCCAGGTGCGTTAAATGCACGGGGGATCACGGCACACACAGGTGCACCCGCAATGCCTCGGACACTCGCAGCTGTATGCGTTGCGGAGCGGAGGGCTTACTGCGAATATTCGCAGGTGCGCCCTAAAGCGCCCAAAGCACAAAGGCAAAGGGGGAAAAGCACTGGGCGTCGCAGGCAGCCCCCCAAACAGAAGGGAGCTAAGAACCCTTAAAAGAATGCTTCCTTCCTCCCCCTGCATTAGTCCCAACTCCAGCCCCAAAACAAAATGCTTCGGCGAAGCCTCTTAACATGGTAAGTAGTACACTCAAACAGGTGCCCTCTTTCCCTCCTGCGCCCGCGCGCGCCGATTCAGGTGGCTAGTCGCGCTTCGCGAAGGGAACTCCTTCCTAAGCAGGCTCCTTAGCCGATCTCCCCAGTCCTGGAAGAGCTCAGTGCGGATTTCAATCTTGTTTGCGACTTCGTAGACAGCTTTGATTTAAATGAGTTGCGCACCCTTGCGCACAAAATTAGACCGTCGCGCTCTACCAAAAAATGCCTCTAGGCCTCCTTAGATCACATGGAGATGATCGAGGCAATTAAGAACTTTAGAGCTAATTAGGTCTGAAGTTCTTCATCTGTGAATTTGGCTCTTTTATTATGTCTAAATGGATAACACACCAACAGCTAAAATAAATCCTAGGTCGATAGTTGTCGCTTTTTCTAATGCGTATGGCCTTAAGGACCAAATAGACGAAGTCCATACATTTTAAACCGATTTTCAGATAGACATTTTGCTCGTGCAAGAGACCTTTCTCAAGCCGAGTATTAGAGGTACCAGCACAGCCAACTATAGATTAGTTAGGAATGACATTTATATAAGTCATTCCTACACGTTGTTCCCATTGAAACGCCTCAATTTACAGATTTAGAGGCTTCGGTTTTCAGAGTTGCCATGACTGGTTATCAGCCGATCATCGTAGTCTGTAGGCATATCTCTCTCCGAATAAAAAAGTGCTCAAGGTCGACTTTGAGGCACTTTTTAATCTTAGTAACTCTGTTATTACAGCTGAAGATCTTAATTGTAAGAATAAAATCTGGCATAACCATTTCAATATTACTAACGGTAAAGAGTTAGTGGACCTTAGTCGGAGTCTTGATTTTGATATTATAGCTCCTCCTGAGAACACTAGGTAATAATTAGCAATGGCTCATGGCTCTTCTAGAATCGATTTGGCTCTCTTCAGGAACGTAACCTTACCGCTACGCTCCATTGAAGTATTGCACGAGCTAAGATTAGACCATCGCCCAGACCTCATAATTCTGAGTCAGCCCAGCAGTGAGGTTCCTCTATTCGGAGGTTTTTACGTGGTAGAGCCATCCTGCAGCTATATTGTGGTTGCAGCAAGAATGGATCTGCTCAACCGGGGTAGGACCACTCTCTCATAGAATACCAGCGTAAACTAGCAGCTTAATACTGCTGTGTTTCGTATGGTGAGTGAGTGTAGACAGAGTTCCGGAGATCCTTTTTACTAGAAACGAGGCATTCCATCTTAATTCTCAGGGGTGACAACGCATCTGCGTTTTGATTCTTAATCGAGGATAAATGTAGATGTCTATGGGCCACAGCATCCACTTACCATCAGGTGGACTGTGTGCTCGTTTATCACTCCTATTCTATGAAAAATAATAACCAAAACTGTGACGGACTGGTATAGATTCAAAACTAATCTTGAATCTATGAATTTGGAACACTTAGATGAGGTGCCAGATGTTATTGCATTGGAAACCATCTCCCACCTCTGCTCTCATATTAAGGTAATCACCGCAGAATACTCGAAGCAAAATATTTAGTGGAGGAAAATTTGATATTAATTTAGTTGGCAGGCCAGTGTAAAATAACAATAGCGAGTCTATCGTTCCGGTACTCTCCGACCAAAATGTTGCTGATGGGTTTATTGTTTTATCTCCCTTTTGCATTATGGTATTATGTAGCTGTTTTGCTTTTCATTATTTTAGTTTACTCACTTTCAAGTTTCCTGTTAGTCTTTGAGCTCTGTTTTGTTTGTTTCGTGAAAATTTTAAATAGAAGTGTCACCGAGGAAGAGGGCTTATTGCCAGAAATATAGATCTGAGTCTGAGGTGATGGCGATGATATAGTGAAATTTAGGACTAAATTCTCTAGATACAAAAATGCGGCTAGGATGAATGCCTTTCGAGAATTAGTGGACTTAGATTTCGGCGTGCTGTCTCTCCCACATACAAACAGCGGATTTTCGACGTTATGAACATTTTCGAAAGTAAGCTACTAACGTAAGCGGATATCAGCTTAAACAGTGAACCCAAGTATAATGATATTATGATTCGCCATCAATAAAAAAATTCTTAAGCAAAGTTGCCACACATAAAAACTTATCTGAAAATGACCTCGACAAATTACTAAAACTGAAAAAATGAATAGAAGCAGGTGTAGGCCCATCATTGGCATCTGGAGGTAATGATTGCTATGAAGTCGTAGTGGAATTGTCTAGTTGATTTTAGTACTTAATATTACTTAGGAATTGAAGATGTTTTCAAATAATCGCATTTATTCTTATTTCCTTATACATTTACAGGATATAACTTAGTAGAATTTAGTGGATTTTAGAAAGCAGATTTTTGTAAAATATAGCGCAATTTTGATAAGGGTTTAGTGCGTCTTTTTTTCATACAGCAACACTGACCCTCATTATCTTATCAGCCGTAGACAGAGTTCTCTGTCTACGTTATCAGCTAAGCACACAAACCATGGAGTGTAAAGGTACTTCTACACTCCATAACACAAACATTCAGAATATGGAGTGTAGAGGTAAGGAGAACAAGCTCTCATAGGAGAATAGTTGAAAAAGTGTCCATATGTAAGCAATAAATAACTGTTCAAAAACTCTCCACAACAGCGCTGGAGTAGCTACAGGAAACAGCTACATGAAATGAACTTAGCAGTTGTCGACGGTGTGAAGTGTGCTGCTAAACTGCTCAGTAGCTCTAAAATCTAAAATAATTTTATTTAGTAAACATAACCTCGAAAAAGTCGTCTATCACACTAATTATATTTTTCGGTGCATTCTTACCCCGGTTAATTTACCCCGTAGCTATGGTGGTGCCACCCTTATTTAACGGTTTTCAACGGACATTTCTTAATATACAGTCTGTACTCCTTACCTCTAAACTCCATGCTTGTAGGTATATCAGGTCCATATGTTTTATATACGTCTATAGTGTAATTACCATGGAGGTTAGAATTCCTGTTCATACAACTTTATATTATAATATATTTTTTCATAATAATAATAATTTGTGGTTAGAATGATTCTAACTCTAAGTTATGGACTGTAGAGATAAGGAGTATAGACTTTGTATAAAAAGTGTCCGTAGGAAAGCGCTAAATAATGGTGGCACCACTGTATCTAAATTTTAAAGACCTTTTAATAATTTTTTTATTGTACAGACTTGCACCGTCATTCTTTTTATAATAATTATTTTATTGCTTTTAAAATAGTAACCTGTAGTTACTCGAGCGCTGTTGTGGAGAGTTTTTGAACTGTTATTTACTGTTATTTTCAACTATTCTCCTATGGGGGATTTTCCTCCTTACCTCTATACTTCACGCTCTAAGTGACAAACAAGAAAGTGTTTTGATTTGAACTTGGTCGACGACGGACTGTCGCTCCTGTTTTGTCGCTTGAATAATGGTTTGAAGTGGATTTTAATTCGTAAAAGTGATGTTATTTTGTGAATTAAGTGTCTGCGAGTGTAAACTATTAGAGAAAACGACGAAACAAGTGCTTTGATGTTGATATAAACCTTATGAACTTGAGTGGCTGTCGTTATCAACAGTCCGCTGGGTTGAGCTGTCTTCAAAATCTCCCAAAAACTTCGCAATGTGATGCATCAGCATATTGTGAAGAAAATATATATAAAATGAAGATTCTGAAAGAAATGATAGGCTCAGAAAGACTAGTACCCAGAGCCGTAAAGCAGCTTAAATAAAAAAATATACAAGTAAGAAATGACATTGACAATGTTAAATGAAAATGACATTGACAATGACAATACATCGTATAACTCGTACGAATTAACTTGAGACCTGGGCCGATGACGTAATTGTCAATGTACGGTGTGCAAAACAACGCGTCGTAATATTTTTTTATTTGAAATTTTTGAGATTTACATGAGATTATTAATAAAAACAAAATAAAATGTTCTGGCAAGGGGTGAAGTAATAAGTGATATACTGTTGCCATTTTTATATATTTTAAATATTTATTTTTTATAATATATATAATATTATTTTTAGTTAACGCGTCAAGGAAGGACAAATAAATAAACATACACACTTTCTCATTTATAATATTAACAAAAGTCCAAACCAAACAACAATTATCAAAAATATCGAACTAGAGTCGAGACGCGTATCCGTAACAAAAATGCTATCGGTACTGAGCGCGCACGGCCAGCGCGGGACGCGGTGCGTGGAGTCGGGAAGGGGGTCGCATTCCAGCGTAGTCTCAAGTTAATTCGTACGTGTTGTATATAGTGTTCTGTGCAATACACATACAATCTTATTTCTATCTTTAAGCTAGTTATTTCTATCATTTGTATTTGTTGTTACAAGACTTTATCCTTGTAAGTTAAAAACGTTGTTATTCTGTCTGCTGTTTACTTCCATAGGTATTAATTTGAAGTCATAAAAAATTGTCTAATGGAGCAAACAAACAAAATGATTGGAAACCTTAATTGTGTTTTATATATGATATGGTAGTAATGCGTCAGAGATATTAACGATAACTTTATTTTTAGCTATTTCGAGATGCCTGTTGATATACCTGAATGTCCACCAAGCCTAAAATCCATTCAACATTATTTGAAAACTGCTTCTGAACATGACACAAGAGATCCTGTGGTTGCTTATTGGTGCCGTTTACATGCCTTGCAAGTTGGCCTAAAACTAACTAACAAAAAAACTCCAGAAGAAACGAAACTGCTAATGGGTGAGCTTACATTTCCGTAAAATACTAAAAGAAATATGACTGTTTATTTTTGTAAATTGCCAAATCCACCACTCTGTAGTACAATGGTTAGTTTAGGCTGTAACGTTGCGAAACTGCAGGCTGAAATTTCTCACAGATCAAGCATTTGTATGGCCTACAATAATTGTTCGGAGTATGGAGCAATTAATGTATATAATACAGCTCCATGATACTAGAGAAAATCGTAATGTGAGGTAAAACTTAATCAAAAAAGATTCTGCTTTACATTCTACAAACAAGCAAAGCAAGAGACCTAAACCTAGCTGTAATGATTTATAGGCATTTATCTTCCTAACAACTTCTGAATGTGCCATACTTTAATATATTATGCATATAATACTATTAACCTCTCAAATTGCAAGCGTCCAAATTTGACCGTGGCGATATTCCATCAAAATTCAAGAGGTCAAATGTGACCGCACCCACCCACAGCACTTTAACCCATAAATGCTTTTGTTTAGAGACTACTTTTCTATGATGAAGTTTGGCATTATAGAATCAATATGAAATTTTCTATCCTCTAGTGCAATAACGTTCTTTACGTGGTAGAGCCATGCTGCAATTATATTAGTAGTATAGTTGTAGCACGAATGGGTCAGCTCGACCGGGGAAGGACCACGCTCTCACAGAATACCAGCGTGAAATAGTAGCTTAATGCTGCTGTATTTCGTATGGTGAGTGTAGAGAACCGGAGACCCTTTTTACTGGAAATGAGGCATTCCCTCTCACGGGTGACAACGCATCTGCATTTTGATTTGTAATGGAAGATAGATGTAGATGTCTATGGGCCGCAGCAACCACTTACCATCAGGTGGACTGTGTGCTCGTTTGTCACCCTATCCTATAAAAAAAAAAAGAAAAAAAGTCAGTTAGTCTATGGATATTTATGCTGTAAATACTGCTCTGGAATGCCTTGCCTGTTCAAATCAAGAAAACTAGTAACAAAATTCTTTTAAAAGAACTAGTTCGAGAAGAACTAGAACTACTATCATGCCACCTGTCTTATTCGACTATTGTGTTTTTCTCTCTTTAACTTTATAAGTGATATTATGTATAATGTATTGTGTTACTTCTTTTTGTATTATTTTATTTTATTTGTTTATATATTCATTATTTATTCTATATTATATAGAAGATATTAAGTTAGTATGTATATATTTTACTAACTATATTATATTTATTTGCATTTTATTGTATCTTATATCTTTATTACGTATTTATTAAATATATGAAGCAATTGTTTACACCTGCTATAGTTTCACAAATCATTCAGGTTGGGGATTATAATCTACATTCGTTACATATGCCGTTTTCATTTGGACGTTGTGTTGATTTTTGGATATTTCTAGTGTTTTATTAGTGTTTTTCTATAGTGTTTCATTATAAAATTGTCATAAAAGTTTTTGTGTGAATATAATTTATCTTTTTAAGTAAGTAATATTGAGTAGTATATAGAAATATGTATAATAGTGATTTTCACGCTGCCGACATCAGCTTGGTATATATATTTTTTTTAAATCAAAATACAATAAAATCTTGTTGTAATGAAGTAAAACCTGACTTTTGTTTAGACCACAGGATAGAGAATTTTGTATAGATTTTATAATGCCAAACTTCTTCCTAGAAAAGTAGTCTCTAAATATAAGTTTTAATGGTTTAAAATGCTATGGGTGGGTGGGGTTGCATGCAACCACTCAGGATTTAACAGACGCATGCGACTGCATGGGATTTTTATGGGGATTGAAGCATTAAATAGACTTGCAATATATTAGGCCACATGCTGAATACCAGATAGTCTGCAGGCTTCCTGGTTGAATAGCCGAATATTAGGTAAAGGTGTTCGGCTGGGAAGGAAGTAGTGTTTGTTTAGAGTGTCTATTCTCTGAAGCTGGAATTGTCTATGAGAAGAAATGGAGTAAACTACTGTCTAAAAATGAAGAAAAGTTAGTTTTTCTGTACTATCTTCCACTTTTATTATAATAACTTTCTTCTTCTTTTTATTTTTGTGGCGGTATGATAAAATACGCCAATGACATATTGAATGCAAAATGAAAGCTGGTGAGTTTAATTAAAATAAAAGTCTGTGATAATACAAGATTTAGTTTTCCTCCTAGAATTTTAGCATATCTGTTTAATTACCTAGAACAAATGACAAACACAGGTGTTTCAATCTTATTAGTATGTTAAAAGTAACAAAGATTTAAAGTTTTATGTTATTAGTACTTAATAAAATCACATAAAATATACGCAAAAGAGGTACTTGTATAATATTTTAAAAGAGAATTAAAAGTTGAGGAATATAAGGAGGAAGGCATAGAAAGAGGGTGGAGGATGATTCGGGTCAGTTGATAAAATATGGTTTTTAGAACCTTCATCTAAGACCACATTCACACAATGGGCTATCGATAACTCTACGCCAGATGCATGTGTGTGCAAACATATCTAATTCTCAATCTACAGATAATTGAAGTTGCATGTTTATTTGCTTTGTTCAATTAAAAAAACCAAGGCTTAGGAGGAATTATCTCTTAAATGGCTGCATAGTGCTTACCCTCAACATTTTTGGATATTTCCCATTTTATTTATTTCAATTTTCATTCAGTTAGTTACCTTTTAGCTAGCAAAATTAGGTCAATCGAGTAAATTAAATTTTGCAGAATGCCATTAGCAATTGCATTTTTAGCAAGTACATAAGCCATAAGTTTCGTTTCCGTAGATATCACTGTGTCCAAGAATCCCGGCTACTTAAACATCTGAATAGGGTATTTTTATTTTGAGAATTATTGGAAATTTATTTTTGTTATGGAATTGATTGCATAAAATAGCTAACACGCAAACTTATGAAATCTGTGTAAATAACTGTTTTGTTAAGAAATTTTTTTTGTAAAATTATTCGCCGATTGCATTGGCTTCACCAGTAAAAGTGGAGGATAGTGTGGGACATTTCAAGTTAAGAATGATTTTGATCTTAGGGATCCCAACAGCAGATCCACTGTTTAAAAGCATCTGTGTACATGACAAGCCAATCTTTAAAGGTTTTTTTCTATAATTTCTTTCAATTTTAAATTTACCATTTGAGAATCTTTTTCTATACCTAGATGAATGTCGAGTTGATAAACATTTGCCTCATGAGGAATAAAGAGTGGATTTATTTTACATTCAAAGATCAGGTAAGGAAGCTGAAGAAAAATTACAAAACTTTTAAACAAGCAGGCAGAATCCTTATGGGTCCAGAAATGGCCAGATTAGATATAACCTGAAAGAAAGTGCAATTTCGAAATTAAGAATCTGTCTGAAAGGTGGTATTAATGCCTTCTCAATCTTAAAGGAGGATCTACAACTCAACTTTAATAACATTTATTGATGAGGATTTCATTGCCCCTGTAATAATGCGAAGGCATTTCAACTGAATTTTGTCCATTATTTTCAGGGATGATTTATTGCAAGGCTCCAAGAGAATTCATCCATCGAATTGAGGATAACTCCCAAAAATTAAACATTGCCTCTAACTGATTGGTTATTATAAAGAACAGATATATCAGGGACTTGGTTTTGACAGGGAAACATCACCACACTGTTTTCGGCCACAGATACAGAAAGGCTAAAGAAAGGCCATGATTAGTTAACCATTCTTGTAAATAATTTATGGATGAGTTTAGACAGGAACATGCCACTGTAAAGTTGTCTAAAGGAATGTATAGTACTAAATTGTCTTCATATTGAAGGACGTTACAAAAAGAAATAACTAAAAGTTCTAAATCATATGTATTTATGGAATAAAGGAAAGGACTAAGTAATGAGCCTTATCCTCCTGTCAATTCTTTTTCCTTCTTTGAAAAGAACTTTCCGTATAGTTTTTGGAGGAAGCAGAAAGTTTTGAACATTTATAGATATGGATCTAGAAGAGGGAAAGTTTGAGACATAATTGACTATCCTCACTGGAATCTCAGATTAAGCATTTTATGCCTGAGCACAGGAAGAAGCACATTATCATATGCAGACGAAGTATCCAAAAAAACTCCTTTGAGAAATTCATATCTTAAAAAGCCATACATCTTGGAACATCTGTGACTAATCTACCAAGGCTATCTATGGTACCTAAACCTTTTCGAAATCTGAATTGGCTTTAAGGTAGGACGTTATTATTCCTTTCCAAAAACCATTCCAAATTATTTTTATTAGATGTTCCACGATTTTTGTCAGAGTACATGAAAGGGCAATAAGTCAGTAACTGGAAAGGACAAGGACTTACATGGTTTGAGAATGGGCAAAATGATTTAGAATTTCCATTCATTAGGAGGTGGAGGAAAATGGATAGTAAGACAATTATAGTGTTCTCACTACTATTAATTATAAATGAATAAAGAATCCCATCAATACCTGGTGAGGAGTCTTTTAGACCGTTGAGAACAGTAAACAATTCTTGGAAGGAAAGGGGGAATCAAATTTATCATGATTTTGTAAAGAAGAGGAATTAAAAACTAGGCATTCATCATAAGATGGGATTGTTTGTGGTGCAAGTTTATTTAGAGAATTTATCAATCCATGGGGAAGGATCATTTAAAATTACATTTTTACTTGAAACTGCACAACAATATATATTTTAACTTTTATATTTTAACATTTCTCCAGACCAAAGATAACAGAGTCCTAGATGACAATGACTCATAGAATTTAAACTAACCACTACTCGAGTGCATAGACATTTATCTAACACTTCTTTTTTATTTTTATAATTCGGAAGTTGATTATGTGCTACATTAATGACTACACAAAAAAAATATAAATTTATTATAAAAATTAGCCGCGGTAGCTCAGGGGTAAAGCACTCACTGCAAATTCTACAGCAAACTGGGTTCGATCCTCGCCCACATCAATGACATTGTTAATTGCAATTTTAAGTGCTGATTTATCGAATGCTCCATGCTGAAGGAAAATATCGTGACGAAACCTACATCTCGGAGAAGTAAGAAAAAAAATATTTTGAAGACGAAGTCCGCCATCACGCAATGGGGCAGCGCGGCACATATTTACTTGCCCTAAGCCCTGTCATAAATGTATCCAGCAGCGGGACGGTATATAGGCTATAACTTTTAACTTAAATAAATAATTTCATTTTCCCAATTCCTTGCTTAAATAAAACTTACTCTTACTTGAATATGAAGTATTCGGCCGAATAGGACAAAAGTAGCCGAATACCGAATCATAGTCGAAACTTCATTGCAAGTCTACTATTAAGCTAATGATTTCTTATATTTATGCAAACACTATATATTCAATGAAACAAAAAGCTGAAGGCAGACCTTGGGTTAACTGTGTCATCATAGTCCGGTAAAGCAGCTAAAATGTCAGGAATCAAAATGTTAATAAATGCCATTAAACTCTGTAAAATTCGTTTTATTCATATTTAAAACACTGTTTTGGATTCATTAGTTTTATTTCAGAAAAATGTAAATATTATGTAAATTTTTTTTAGGACTTATGGACTGGTTAGAAGAACAAAAGACAACACATAAAGATAATGATGCCATCTCTAATGAAGTTGCAGCACAAGCACATCTTGAAAATTACGCCCTTAAACTTTTTCTTTATGCAGACAAACAAGACAGGGAGCAAAATTATGGAAAGTATGTATGAGAAATAAATATCTTACAAATTAGATTTAACTAGCAAAAAATTTTTTGCTTAAGAGGACCCTTCCGTAAAACTATAGACATCCGGTACTTGCGCGCGGGGGTGGGAGGTGGATGCGGAACGAGCCCCCTCCCCCTCATACCTGGCGGAAATGTATAGTTTATGAGTAATGGTTTTTTTTTTGTAAAATCATACCCTCACTTTTTACCTAGGAATATTGACCCAAAGTTACTTCTGCAACTGCTTCGGTGCTGTGGTAAGTGCAGCATCTTCGCCCTTGTGCAGCAGATCGCAGGCATCCATGCTCACCTCCGCAGATCTGGAATATTAGTCGCCCTCGGCGACCAGTCTTAGCTGCGACGGCTAATACGGGTGCTTGCAATTTGCTACGGCGGGTGGGGACACTCTCCCTCCGCGCCTACGTAGGGTAGACAAGACTACGTGGAGTCGGGGCGTGCTGATTCGGTTTTAGAATAGGTTCGACCGATCTTATCTATAAAATGAAGTTGCCCTTAACTCTGCTATGATAGTGGTAAATGAAACAACGTAATGTGAAATGTTATTGTTTTCTGAAAAATCTCTTGACTGCTCTCCGCTGCGATTTTGCTGTATAGATTCCCGTCTTCAGACGGATGTGATGGATGTCTAGGTCCGAGTAATTAGGAATCTTTTTTTTAATTGTGTCTGTGTTCATCATCATCAAATACAGCCCTTCACAAGTCCACTGCTGAACATAGGCCTCCCCCAAGTAATACCACAAACCACGGTCCTGAGCCACCTGCATCCATCGACTTCCTGCATGTCTTACCAGGTCGTCACTCCATCTAGTGGGGGGTCGCCCTACACTGTGTCTGTGTTATAAAAAATAAACTGACATATTTGGGTTTCGTTATTTGCAATTTTTTGTAAAATTTATTTTTTATTTTAATCAATTCAAAACGCATTTCCGAAATCCTAAAACATTGTAAAAGTTTCAAGCTTCATCCTGACAAACCTTGTAATTTGAAAACAAAATTAAAAAAAATCGAGTACCGGACGTCTACTTCATAATACTAGACCAAATTGACATATTTGCGTTTCGTTATAAGCATTTTTAGTGAAATTTATTTTTATCGTAATTAATTCAAAATGAATTTCCATCTACAACAGTGCAATCGTTTCAAGCTTAACCCTCCTAGAAGTCTCCTAACCTAAAAACATTATTAAACTCAAGTACCAGACGTCTGTAGCCAACCCGACCCTTTTCCCGTAAGTCTTGGAAGAAGTGACTAGGGCAAATGCCAGAAAGATATTATGCCAAAGATGGCAGTATGACCACTATTTTTATGTCATATGCCAGCCTCAATGGTGCTAGACATCTGATACAATTGTCCATTTGCCTGTCAAATGTTACAGTAGAGGCAAATACTTTCTAAATCGAGACAGGCGGATGTCAAGCCGTGGACTTTTTGACTCATTTTGCCTTCCCACAATAGAGTGAAGAGCCCAATTTACTCTGCGTCATGCATTCACATATCGTTCTTTATCCTTATCATATCTATCCTTAATAAACTCACATCCTAAAGCACACTAACTCATCCACTTGCTTAACCATCTCCCCTTCTATTCTTATTTCATATATCGTTTTACTTTCTTCTCTTTCAAAAACCATCACTTTCATCTGACTTGCGTTAACTTTCATTCCCCTTTCTTTTATTAATGTCCTCTAGACCGAATTTCGGTCGTCCGGTTCATCGGCGCAGGACAGGATCATAGTGCCCAAGTGTACGAACAAGCACAGGTGCACTCTATTCATTCACTCTCATAGTCCGATGAAACGGCCACAGAGAGATCAGCCTAAGGACCAATGGCTTTACGTGCTTTCCGAAGCACGGGAGTGAGATACTGTCAACTTTTTAATCCGGGCTGCTACTGAGAAATTTTTGACGGAAAGACCCAGTATCGAACATGATCAAAAATATCGTATACTACCACGATTTATTTTAATGACCTGTTCATAACGTTAACATTATTTGCAACTCGCCTGCCAACGACGCAAACAACACTTGATCTTCTGCCCATAAAAGGCATTTGACGGTTAGCTTACTAATATTCTTAACCCATATTCTTCAACTTCAAAGTTTCCAAACAGCTGTCTATATATAGATTGAACAGATACTGTACAATATACACAACCCTATCTGACATCTTTATGGGTGCCAAATGACACAAATGTAATGTGCCTGGGGCTCAACCCAAATATGTCTAGTATTTGCTATAAAGCAACCCTGTCCACTAGCATACAATTTTCCCACAGTGCTACTCATAAGCAATCTGATTCCATGGTAGTTTTTACATCCTACTATAATCCTTCTCCCTTGTATAGTGAAACTATTATGGCCAGCCTAGCACAAATTAGTGAAGGTTTAGGCCGGTTTTAGAGCTCGACCGACCGTCGGTGCGTACCATCGGTCCTGACGATACGCGTAGCCGATAGTCAGTTTGTAGCGTTCAGAGCTTTCCTGAGCAACGAAACTGGCCGGACTGGTACAGTCACAAACACGTACACGAAATGGACGCGTTAATTGTTTAATTGCTGCTTACTATGTTCGTAAACGTATAAGGAACAGAAGACGTAGATATCAGGTTCACCCAATCGTCGCCCAAAGAGCACTTCAAGGGGAATTTACTACTTTATATTCATTATTGCGCGAAGATGAAGAAACATTTTTTAATTACTTTAGAATGTCAATCAAAAGTTTTGATGAATTTTCAATGAAATTACAAGACAACGTAAAACATTCGCGAGGTGTTCGGTGTCGACATATGCCATGTTTGATAAAAATTACTTAAATCACTAACACTACTTAATGCCTATAAAATCATACAATATTATTAAAGTTTAGGTTTGATTTTCTTGACGATGATACACGCATCCGTACGGTCGGTGTAGCACTGAACGCGTCAATATGTTTCCATAGCGCGTCGGTCGACCGACGGTACGCATGCGGACGCGCTCGACCGACGGTCCTCGTACGCAGTGCGTAGCTATATACGCGTGCGTACGGTCGGTCGAGCACTGTAACGACTTGTGAATTTTCATACAAAAGGCAAGCGCGACCGACGTACGCACCGACGGTCGGTCGAGCTCTGAAACCGGCCTTACAGCAGGCCTGCCACCACTCTCCCTGCGGCCTTTAGCATTTCTTGTATACTCTATCAAACCCAGCCTTTCCTGCTTTCATGCTTTTCATGATTTCGTCTTTACTTATCTCATTTCCTGTTTTCTCTCCTTTCGGAGTTTCTAGTTCATTGAATTAAGACATCTCCTCACACTTAAACACTATTTCAAAGTATTGCTTCCATATCTGACAAGACGATATGGGATAGTGGGTATTCTTACACCGCCACTTCACGGTTATTACATAAAAATCTTCTGATAATGAAATTGTCACAGGATTTTTTTCTACGCATACTGGGAGAAGACTTTCAGCATTTTCATTTAACCAGAATCTACCTTCGATTAAAATTTCCTAACGTAATAATATTTTCATTTTTCTTATATTTCATTAAAACCATCTTTACCATCTACCTAAACTGCTCTCGGATATGAGTGGTCTTAGAAATATATGTATTATAGCATTGATATACATGCAAAGTATATGGTAACGACATACGGTAAAACCTGCTTTGATACGGTTTCCCGTATAATATGCGAGCTTATGTCAAATGTACAAGACGTCAAGTCTGCGATCGTCAATCCGCTTGCCATGCGTAACGATTCCGGCAAATGTTTCCAACAAATGGAGAGGGAGGCTCATTTATTATTTAAAAAAAAGATATATTTTCTTTTATATATATTAGTTTATTAAAATTTTGTATAAATATTCAGCCCTCGAGCAATGAAATTTTGTTTTAAATTATTTTAATAATACAACTTATTATTAATAAACCCACTACTTTTAAAATTTTAATCGAGATAACTTTAGAAATCTCGTCATCCATTGCCGGACACTTATGACAGTTGCTACCCCCTGCCAGACAACCCTCTTTAATAAATTAACTTTTATACTATAAAAAACGAAAGTATAATTATAATTTATTGAAGTTTAGGGGTGTCTCACAGGGGGTAGCAACTACCATAAGTGTGTTCTACACCTCTTTTCTACATGTCAAGGCGAGATACCGCCAAATTTCGACTTGACGTGTAAAAAGGAGGCACTGAGGTTTCACAAAGTGTTTTTTAACTTGATCGTATTACCGGAGACTGCTTCTTTAAGAGATATATTTCTTACCCTGGTTGTGAAAGTCTTAGGCTAAAGAGAGAGATGTGCGGAATTCCACAGGGTTCGATCGTTGGACTGGTCCTATGAACCGGACCGGAACTGGTTGCCGACATAATTCACTACACAGACGACACGCTCATCATCGTCCGGTGAAATCCAATCACATATATGGTGGTGTACGACTGTCACTCGCTCGTTATTGCAGTGGACGACTGTTACTGTAAATAGGTGATTTCACAGAAGGCTACGGAGAGGGAGCAGCAAAGACAGATTTCCCAATTCGCAGCTGGAGAGCCGGACGATGAAGGGATGATATGCTCATCATACTATTCCCCACGTTGTAATGTAGCAGTGTTACCGTGGGGTGTTTAGACGGTCCGGTGGTCTAGAATAACCTGTCTGTCAACTCCACGACAGCAATGAGGGTTTGCTCATGTATAAAAAAAACATTAATAGGCAATGCAGCACAGCACCTATTATTTCTGCTCATCATATTCCTACGAGCACTTAACCTTTTTGTTTTTAACGGATATCAAAAATAAGAGAGTTATTAAATTGACTGTTTTCCTAAGTGACACTTTTTCAAGAATATAGAATAAATACTCAGAAAGTACATATTTTTTACTTTTGCATTGTTTTAAAATTTTAATCAGATCTAATGAACCATATTAGCCTGTTTATGTGCAAATACGCCGATAGTTTCAAATTTTCCTTAAATTTGGATAATAGTTAATTAATTTAACTATTATCCAAATTTAAGGAAATATTAATTTCTATCTACGCAAACACCACAATTTATTTGTAATTTTTTCCAGTAACTTCTAGCTGTTTGTTTAGTTGCATTACATATTTTTTGGTCTGAATTTTGTAAATACTAATATTTCAGAAATGTTGTCAAAGCGTTTTATACAGCTGGGATGATTTATGATGTTCTAACAACATTTGGCGAACTAACTGATGAAGCTGTACAGAATAGAAAGTATGCTAAATGGAAGGCAGCTTATATCCATAATTGCCTCAAAAATGGAGAAACACCAGTTCCAGGTTAGTCATTTTAAATCTTCAAAAAAAAAATACTACTTAACTTTATCCAAGTTACTACATATATTCATAATCTTTATTTTTAAATTAATTATTAATATAGGCATTTATTTTAAACAAAATTAATAAATTTAGCCTATATCCATCCCACTGCTAAGCACTGGCTTCCTCACATTTCTGAGAGGGTTAACAGTCTAGTAATGATTATTCTGTTAGTGTTAATATGAAGGCTATGGAGGGTAGAGGTAAGGACTCTCTTATATGGGGGACTAAATGTAAGCTGTAAATAACAGTTCAAAAACCTAGAATGGCGCTAGCTAGATACATGGTATGATACGGTATGAATGCAGCAGTCGTAGGTGGATTTAAGTGAATCGCGTAGAAGAAAACATATTTTTAAAGGACCTATTAAATTTTTTATCCAAAAATTAACACTTGATTATTTTTTGTCATTTTGTTTTTGATGAACTTTTGTTCTCTAATTTTGAACAAAAAGTTAATTAATTTAAAATTTTAGTTTTTAGATAGTCCTCCTTACCTCCATAATTAGGCAAGTGCAACACAGCACAGAGCAGCTGTGGCTTTTAGCATTTTAGGTTATATAGCTTAAGCCTAGTTTTTTTTGTCTTAAGTCACAGACTAGTACAGTTATTCTTTTGCCAAGATCAAGTAATAAGAAATTATCCATTCAAATATTTGTTAGAATAATATGCTCCATGCGTCATATTGACAAGTTTTTGTGAGATTTTGAAGGTAGCTTAATCCAGCGGACAGTCAATGACGGTAGTATCTCAAGTTCTTGAGATGCCTAAGCGAACAAACTAACTTGAAGTTTTTATCAACATTGAAACACTTGTCGTTTCTACTAATGGTTCACCACTTAATATATAAAATGGAATCGCTTTTACATATCAAAATTCACTTAAATACGGATAGTGTTAAGTATTATTTTTAAAGGTGCAGCAATCTGCAGGTGGTTAAGTTCCCGGCAAAAGTTCATAAACTTAGTAATAATATTTATTTTCTGATAAAGTTACAGCCTATATACGTCCCACTGCTGGGCACGGGCCTCCCCTCATTTCTGAGAGGGTTTTGGGGCAAGGAAGTGCCCGCCGTGCTGCTCCAATGCGTGTTGGCGAACTTAACATGTCCTCGAAATAATTTTTTTTCTTATTCCTCAGACATGCAGGTTTCCTCACGATGTTTTCCTTCACCGCCGAGCACGTGGTAATTCATCACTCAAAATTGCAATTAACAATTTCATTGGTGCCGGCGGGGGTCTAACCCGAGTTACTCGCGTTCTGTTATATTTACAGCGAGCGTTAACCATCTGTGCTACCACGGCTCACGGAGCTTTATTTACCGATATTTTATAGTAATTATAATTATAGGTATTTATTTCAAACAAAGTAATAGCTTTAAAACGTCTTACTGCTGAGCACAGGCATTCTCTTATTTCTGAGAGGGTTGTCTAGTACATTCTCAAATCATTAATGCATTTTACATTGCATTTAACTATTTATATTACTCCTCACAGGACCTCTTCCAACAGACGAGCAGGGACAAGATAATGAGGGGTCTGAAAGTGATAACCAACCAGCACCTACGGGTTTTCCACAAAATCCAGGTTTCTCTTCGCAAATTACACCAGCTACACCACCTGTACCAACAAGTTTCAACAGCTCTCTACCCGACCAGAATGCAGCAATAAAAGCCGCATCTCAATTACCACCTGTGCCATATACTCCGGATCCAAACCCAGGAGGATTTATTCCGTATGATCCCTCACAACAAAGTCAACCATCGCCACCGACGTACGGTGATAGTTCTACAATGGTTGCACAGTTAACTCCTGACCAAATGGCTAAAGCGCAAAAGTATTGTAAGTGGGCAGGCAGCGCTCTTAATTACGATGACGTTAAAACTGCGATTGATAACCTTAAATATGCTTTAGAATTATTACAGACAGGAAGAGATCCCGCTTAAAAGGCTGCAATTTGATTCTCATAATTACTGATGGAAAATTGCTAGTTTTACTTTTAAATGTTAATGAACTTAAAATGTGCTTTTTTCAAACGATTATATAAAAGTGATTTATGCAGCGATTGTATATTTAACGGTATTAGGTATTTAAGTGCCTAGAGTATGTACCTAAACTTTAAATTATTCTTTATCTCCGCTTACCACCAGGTGGGATTACCAAGTAGACAAGCACTGGGCTTAATATAAGTAAAAATATAAAAATAAAATAATTTTACGTTATATTTTCACAATAATAATAATGTAATATAGTTATAAAGCATGTATAATAGAGATATATTTACGCCTTAAATAAAATGCATAATTATCAGCCACATTTGTTTCATTTTAAAAATGCATTGTTGGGTAAAAATAATAAATTATTCAACTACTCATTTCATTTATTCAAATTTCACACCCAATACAAATCCCTAGTTTGTTTAAAACATTAAATTTAAAATTAAAATAATAAATTAGGATATCAGCAACTTATACTTGACAGTGAGCTTCGGCAGGCATTTTACAATACAATAGAATTAACTGATTTGTTTTTATTATTAACGTTTATATCCCAGAAATCCTTCGATCGCTCGCGTATTTCTATGCGGTCCCGCATCATCATACTGTCAGCAGTGGACTTGTGATGAGCTGAAGTAATTTTTAATTATGCAGCTGTCGTGATGCACTCTCGAGTGTAGATGTAATAGGTCCGTCGCTGTCCATTTGTATGCATATGGAAAGCTAAATTGGCATCAAAGAAGAAAACGGAAAGCTATGAAGTTTATGATACACATGCTTGGAATAAAACCAATTGTTTAGAACTTCTATTATGTTTACTGAGGCTAATATTGAGATCTGGAATAAAAAGTATTTCTTATATTTTTTACAATTTACATAGTTTAACAAAGAAATGGGATGTAAGTGACTTTAGGACTTGTTCAATTTATCTTTATATAAATTTTGGGTAGTTAATTTACGTAATATAGTTACTAAGAGTTATATACCTTAACATAATTAAGCAAGTAAATAGTATGATTTAATTGACTTACTAAAGTCAAGAACATATCGAGCGACAGTAAAGTATTAAGCTTTTGAGTGTGTTCCAAAATGAAGAGAGCTTACCTTACGCTTATTGAGCAATTTTATCATAAATTCAGAGACACTGGTTACGATTCAAGGTACATATTGCATTTTTGTATAAATCTACTAAATTTAAGTGGCAGTTACTATAATATTTTGTATCACGCTACTCTTACATACACTTCACACATCAACAAAACATACAAATACACACAGCTTAAGGCTTAAATTAATATCACTTAAAAATTTAATAGTGTAAAAATTACGCGCACTAATCTTGTGTTATTTATATATATAAAAAAAAACTGTATTAGCTTTATATTGCCACAAATAATGTCTATATCTAATAATATCTTAGTTGAATAATATATAAATTACTGAACACTGAAGCGGTGCAAAAATCACAAACATTGTGAGATGACTAGTAAAATCACAGGTTGGAAAATCAGAAGATTTCTATCTTTTTATTGTGCTCTAATGAATAGATTGCCCTGGTGCTGTCAAACAAATCAAACTTTGTATAGAATTAATATTAATTCTAATATCATGTTTTCTGACTATTTCAAGACAGGATTGAAAAAGAGAACTTAATCTCTCTTAACGCCATTCCCGTTTTGCGTTGTAGTGGCTTTCTCTAATTCTTCGCGTCGACTGGTTTGATACCTGGAAAACAAATTTTTAATTATATTAACATTACATTATTTTGTATAATGTACAAACACACAATTCAGAATAACTCTCTGCCTCAGACCATCAAAGAAAAAAAAAGTATAAACATGCGCTCACGTACACTTATGCATCTAAAATCAATTTGTTTTAGATGTTGCTGTTAAAGAAATAAAGAAGAACAATGTGTGCCTTAGTGTGTGTCAGTCACGGCCGTAGCTAGGGGGAGGGGGCATTGTGGGGCAATGCCCTACATTGAAATCACAATTTTTTAAGTCTGACCTTTTTCAAATGATTATTTATTTTTAATTATTATGTTTAATGCGTGTAGGAAAGCGCGCCTTATTTTTAGGGTACCGGTGCATCTTGCTTGAAATGGAAGAAGAGTTGTGCTTTCCGGAGGAGGGGTCACCGAGAGGCGGTTGGCGCTGACGGAGTCGCAGACTTAAACGTAAGTATCCCTGTAGCCCTGTTGACATGCAGTAAAGATGAGAACACCATAGGGGTTTTGCCGTTGCGATACCAAGGCGAGGCGGGTTGCGTATGAATTTCCTCATAAAGAGGCGATAAATAAACATCACTAGTCTTCGACCAAAGTTAAATAATAGTGTTTTCCAGTAGGGACGGGACGATGTTGAGTGTTGACAGGCTGCGGCGGGCATGTTGTTTTGGCAACATATATCAAATCTATATCTATATCATCATGGCAAGTTCGACGATGCAACTAGTCCACTGACCTCTATTACAAGTACGCTGGACTTTTTTTTTAAATAACTATATGGCCCTTGGTATTGTGATAATGTCACAATAATTCTGCCAATATCCGGTAAGTACGTGTTAACCATTACTTATTTGTATTTAATATTTCATCATTTTATGTTTTTTTCTTTTTCTTCACAATATGCTGATGCGTCACATTGCGAAGCCCTTGGGAGATTTTGACAACAGCTCAACCTAGCGGATAGTTGATGACGACAGCCACTCAAGTTCATGAGGCGCCCAAGCGATCAAAATAACTTGAGGTTTATATCGACATCAAAGCACTTGTTTCGTCGTTTTCTCTAATAGTTCACACGCGCGGACACTTAATTCACAAAATCGCATCACTTTTACGAATCAAAATCCACTTCAAACCATTATTCAAGCGACAAAACAGGAGCGACAATCCGTCTACGGCCAAGTTCCCGCCAAAAATCCCTACGCTGGACTTACAAAATACCATACATAATGTCTGCGCCGATTTGAAACGCCACCATTTCTCGTCCGGGAAAGTTGACATAATATACCACTCTGTTGTCTTATTTAAATCTTATCGCTGTATTTTGAATTTTGAAATTAAAGAACGAAATTATTTTATGTGGTTTGATTGTGTATAATTTTAGTTACATAATAAGAATTATTTTTAATTAAAATGAGAGTGTGCGTAATATGTAAAACTTGGTACCAAAAGGAAAGTGTGTATAACATTCCACAAGTATGTGAATTTACAGTAAATATTCAACAAATTCAAACTATTAGATATTATATAAGTACTTAAAAATTTATTAATAATCTTAATATCGTAATTACCAACATGTTTGGCTTTATATTACTGAGTTTTAATAAACAATATAATTCAATAGGGTTGTCGAGTTCCTTGTCTATAATACATATCGATTTTCTACCTACCCAATCTACTGACAACCAAAGTTACCGACAACAGATAATTATCAAATGTTCATTAATGAACAGGTTTCCAACTGAACCTAGATTAAAATTACGGTTTAAAAGCATAAATATTGTGAATTGTCATATAGATCGGTACGTTCTTGCTGAAGCACCGTTATCAACAACTTTTTACTAGCCTGTTTTAAGATCTTAGCGCTTCCTCAAATGTTTTTTTAGTAGATATCTTGACACACGTAGGAATGAGATTATGATCTCTGCATCTCTTCAAGAAATTTAAAGCTGTTATGTATCTTGCGCGCTTGGTCTTTAGATCTTCTAATCGGCATATTTTATTTGCTATTTCCAGTCCGTAATTATTGTGGAAGTTAAAATGGTCTGTCTAAATTTAACTTATTTATTATATCAAGGGAATAAATATATATTAAGACTGCAAAATTATTAATGTACTTAGTGAGTTTGCGTGAGTTTAAAAGAGAAATAGCTCCTCCCTGAACGGGTCCCCTCGTTGTCATGAGGGGAGGGTTTATCGCCGTGGGTTGGTAACACCATCAAAAATTAGGGGACTCACATGGCTAGCCTGAGGTAGTCACTCTAAGTGGGCTTGTCGAGCCCTTGTATGTGTGTTAATGGGCTGCGGCTATAGGAGATTCCTCTCCCTGTACCGCTGCAATCGAGGTGGAGTCGCAAGAGAAAGATGCGCCACTCGACTATCCTCAGATGTGGTATTTCACTGCTTGTCGTATGAGGAAAGTTCAAAGTCGCTCAGCGAGCTATAGACAGGGCTATGCTCAGGGTTTCTCTAATGAACACAAACAACGCCGTTTTTTAGCTAACTGGGCTTCGGAGCATTTGGAAGAAGACCCCAATTTTAGCCGAAAAATCATCTCGGCCAGAGGCCATCACTGTCAACGGCGAGCGCTACAGATCGATGATAACCAGTTTCTTCAGGCTCACTCATTAACTATATATAGTAAGGTGGGGAAATGTATACTTGGAGGAGTATTCTTCGGAGTACGGTGTAAAGCAGGGTAGCATATATGATATATGTTAACCATCTGTTTGAAGAGCTCAGCAGCATGCATGTTGAAAGCCACATTGATGACATATGAGTCAATTATTTGGAGTTATGCCGATGATATGGTGCTGCTGAGCCCTTTAATTGGCGATCTCCGAAAATTGTTAAAGGTGTGTGAGGTTTATGCTGTGGAACATGGCCTAAGGTACTACGAAATTAAAAAAAGAGTTTATGTTATTTAAATGTAACAATAAAAACAATATCTTTATACCACCTATATAACTTAATGGTGTACCTCTAAATCGTGTTGCACAGTTTACATTGTAACTGAGTATTTGAGTGACGGAATTAAATTATTGAAAGGGAGCGCAGGGCATTCTCGGTGCGTGGTAATATGTTGGCACACAGGTTCGCTCGATGTACTTCTCCTGTTAAAATAACAATGTTCAAGGCATTCTGCCAGACGTCCTACACGAGCGGCCTGTGAGCAAACTTTACATAAAAAGGTTCCCTCTATTGCAGTGCATCTTATTGCATG